CCCCAGGTCTCCTGTGGCTGAGTGGCAGTGCGGCAGGGGGGCTGTGTGGCTGTGGGGCCTCCCTGGGATGGGGACATGGGAGAGCAAGATGTGTGGGGACGACCTGTGGTCAGTGTGGCACTTGCTGGGTGTGCGGGGGCTTGTGGGATGCACAGGGGAAAGGTCCAGGTGGGAGCAGGAGACTGGTCAGGATTGGGGGAGGACGGGCAGAGGCCAGTGGAGGAGGCCAAGTCGTGGGAGCGGACAAGGCCTCCCAGGACAGCGTGGGTTCAGCATGAGGAAGGGAGTGTGCACAGGCAGCTGAGCCCTGGAGGCCACACTTCCTGAGAGCTGGTTTGGGGCCCGGCTGTGGGGAGATAGCGGCCACCAAGACAGATACAAATCCCTGCCCTGGTGTAGTTCACATTCTGTTGAGGCGAGACAAGTAAGTAGACAACTAGCTAATGCAACAAAGATACAGTTGCACTTGATAGTGTTACAAGCTAAGGAGAAAAATCAGACGCAGGAAAGGTGGGTGGGAAGGGCGGCCGTGTGAGGGGAGGTCCTGGGAGAAGATGATGTTTGAGAAAACCTGAGGGGGAGGCGAGGGAGGGGCCAAGTGGGGCTCTGGAGGGCGAGCCTTCCTCGCAGAGGGAACGGCCAGTGCAAAGATCCTGAGGCAGGATGTGCTGCAGCTTCAAGGAATAGGAACCAGGCAGTGGTTGGGAAGGAGTGAGTGAGGCAGACGAGTCATAGGAGTTGAAACCAAGAGGAAATATTTTGCAAAAGGCAATCAGTCAATATCATTAGTCATTAGGAAAAGGCAAAACAAAGTTACATTGAAATACCACTTCACATCCAGTAGAAAGACTGTAATAATAATTTTAAAAAAGCAAAATAAAAGTGTTGGCAAGAATGTGGAGAATTTTGTGCATCATTGGTGGGAATGTAAAATGGTACAGCCCCTGTGGAAACCAATGTTTTAACTTTTCCTCAAAAAGTCAACCATAGCCCTAGCCCAGTGGTTCTCAACCTTCCTAATGCCGTGACCCTTAAATACAGTTCCTCATGTGGTGACCTCCGACCATAAAATTATTTTCGTTGCTACTTCATAACTATAATTTTGCTACTGTTATGAATCGTAATGTAAATATCTGATATGCAGGATGTATTTTCATTGTTACAAATTGAACATAATTAAAGCATAGTGATTAATCACAAAAACAATATGTAATTATATATGTGTTTTCCGATGGTCTTCGGCGACCCCTGTGAAAGGGTCGTCGCGACCCACAGGTTGGCGACCCACAGGTTGAGAACCGCTGCCCTAGCTGGTTTGGCTCAATGGATAGAGCAAGCCTGTGGACTGAAGGGTCTCGGGTTTGATTCCCGTCAACCGCACATGCTCAGATTGTGGGCTCAATCCCCAGTAGGGGCCGTGCAGAAGGCAGCCAATCAATGATTCTCTCCCTCTCCCTCTCCCTTCCTTTCTGAGATCAATAAAAATATATTAAAGAAAAAGTCAACCGTAGAGTTACTGTATGATCTAGCAATTCCACGCTTAGGTCTCTACCCAACGGTACTGAAAGCAGGGACTTGGACAAGTACATGCACACTTACGTCCACAACAGCATTAGTCACAACAGCCAAGAAGAGGAAACAGCCTCGATGTCCATCAGCTAATCAACAGATAAACAAGCGTGGCCCATCCGTATGATGGAGTATTATTCGAAAGGAATGAAGCACCGCTATAAACTCCAGCGTGGATTATCCTCAAAAATACTATGCTCAATGAAGGAAGCCAGACACAAATGGTCTCATACTGTGATTCCATTTTATGAAATGCCCAGAACAGGCGAATCCAGAGACAGAAAACAGATGGTGGTCCCAGGTGGGGGAGGGGAGTGAGTGACTGCCGGAGTGACAGCGTCCTTTCAGGGTGATGAGAACGTATTAGAAGAAGTGCTGTTTATACAGCACATGAATGTGCTAAACGCCCTTGAACTGTACTTTTTAAAATGGAGACTTTTATTCCAATAAAAAAAGTCAACAGGCCGTGTTAACTTCTTGAAAAAAAAAAGTATCTGACTTGCTGATGAGACAGTGCATGCATATTGCACAAAATTCAAAAGCTACAAAGTGGCACAAAAGTGGAAGTTTAATCTCCTCTTCCCAGCCGCCAGTCACCTCTGGAGCGACTCGAGTTAGCAGATCTTGTCTGCTCTCTGGCACGAACCTGCGCTTACTCACTTAACAGAAAATGCAGAAAGGGTCAAACAGCAACAAAAAAGCGCCTTGGATCCGAGCGAACAGGTTTGGGGATTTTGCCTGAAATAATTGTTCCCCGTGGGCAGAGGAGGCTGGTTACACTGCGCTGGGCCAGGGAAAGGGAGCCGCGTGGGGCGTCACGTGCGCGCCCGCGGGCAGAGGGCAGAGGGCGCAGGGCGCACGGCCCGCAGCAAACTCGGTTAGTCAAAGGGCGCTGGTCAGTGGGCTCAGTGGTTAGAGCGCGGGTTTGATTCCTGGTCAAGGGCACTACCTGGGCTGCAGGTTCACCCCCGCCCCTGGAGGCAACCAATCCGTGTCTTCCCTCTCCGTTTCTCTGTCTGTCTGTCCCTCCCTTCCACGCTCTCTAAAAAGTAGGTGAAAGGTGAGGATTAACAAGAAGGAAAGAAAGGGCTGGTTCCGGGACAAAGGGCTGCGGCCGCGCCTGCGCAGAAGGTCCCGGGCAGCGGGGGAGGGCCCCCTGCGAGGTGACGGCGGGTTGCCATGGCGGCGCTGAGCGGCCTGGCGTCGGCGCTGGAGTCGTACCGAGGCCGCGACCGCCTGGTGAGGCTGGGACGGAGCGCAGCCGAGGCCCCGGGATCCGGCCCAACCTCAGACCCGGGAAGCGGAGGCTGCGGGCGGGATCCCCGAGCGGCCCCGGCCCCAGCAGCCCTTTGGGGCAGTGCCCGCCGACCTGGCGCCCGGGCTGGGCGGACCGGACCGGACCGCCAAGTAGGGGGCGGGCTGGGCCGTCTCAGGACGCGCGGGGCGTGCGCTCCCACCGGCTCAGCCGCGGGGCGCACCTGCCACCAGAGCCCGCGGACGTCCCGGGTCTGGCGCGGCCGCAGCTGCCCCGGGTTGTCCGGGGAATCTCAGGGGTTCAGGGTCTGGATGTTGGCGATGAGCGCAGCCTCCCTGGTTCGGACTGAGTGACTCCCTCCAAGCCCCATCTCTCCTGCGGCCTCACGGGCTCACGGGCCAGCAGAGGGCGCCCCGGGCGGGGCAGGCAGTTCACTCCCCGCCCCTGCTGCTCTGCGAGGCGCTGGCCAGGACTTACGGGTGTAAGACCGGGAGAAGCGGGTGGAATCAAGATGGAAGGTGGCGAGGCTGACCGGTTCACCACGCCCCACAGCACCGAGCGGGTTCCCTCTTACGGAATAATTTATGCAAATCACCCTTTGTCCGCGGGCCAAGGCCGCCTCCGTCCCCGTCTCCCAGCCCAGCCCGGTTCGTCCCGGGTGGATGCAGATACACGTGTCTGCCTGGTCCGTTGCCAGCGGGGAAGGGAGGCCATGAGGTGGGAAGTGGGGTTCCCTTTTCTTGTCCCCATCACATCTGTCTCCAGAGGCCAAGCCCTCACGACATGAGCCAGCCCTTTGTTAGAGTCGGCGCAGTGCCTTCTGGACAGCGATGTCCTGTGTTTCCATTCGTCCTGCACGTTTCTTTTTGAACTTTCAGCTTTTATTGAAACCTGTTGAGTTACCAGTGGTTCTCAACCTTCTGGCCCTTTAGGTACAGTTCCTCATGTTGGGACCCAACCATAAAATTATTTTCGTTGCTACTTCATAACTGTAATGTTGCTACTGAGATGAATCGTCATGTAAATATCTGATACGCAGGATGGTCTTAGGCGACCCCTGTGAAAGGGTCGTTCGACCGCCAAAGGGGTCGCGACCCACAGGTTGAGAACCGCTGAGACTCCCCACGGCCAGGTGCTCTGCCCCGCCCAGGAGCAGAGCCTGCTGACTGTCTGCTTCCCCCAGATCCGGACCCTGGGGTACTGCTGCCAGCTGGTCGGCGGGGTCTTGGTGGAACAAGGTCCGGCCAGGGCAGACGTGGGGGCGCCCTGCTGGCAGTGTCCTCCCAGCTCAGCGGCTGTAGGACCATCCTTCGCCTCTTCGATGACGCGGCCATGTTTGTGTACACGAAGCAGTATGGCCTGGGGGCAGAGGTAAGGGGTGCAGCCCGCAGGGACTTGTCTAAAGGCAACTGTGTGGGCAGTTTGTTTTTTCAATTGTACTTTCTTTTTTTAGATGATAAGATGTTCTCATTTTAACGAAATTTAAAAAGTAGCTAATACATTCACACATTCATAAAAACAATGTAATTTAAAAGTCTCTCTTTCCTGACTCCCCCAGTCCCCAGTTTTCCTCCTCAGAGGCAGCCACTGTTGTCAGCTTCTTCTGTTTCCTTCCTGAGATCTGTACCCTGACAGGCAAATACACAATTTTTTTTTGTTTATTTGTTAATCCTCATCCGAGGATATTTTTTCTATTGATTTTTAGAGAGAGTGGGAGGGAGGGAGGGAGACAGAGAGAAACATCGATATGAGAGAGACACATCGATTGGTTGCCTCCCGCAGACACCCAACCAGGGCTGGGGATGGAACCTGCAACCGAAGTACATGCCCTTGACTGGAATCGAACCCGGGACCCTTCCGTCTGAGGGCCGATGCCCTATGCACGGAGCCAAACCAGCTAGGGTGGCAATGCACAATTTGACGTAAATAGTTGTGTGCCACTGACACTCTGGCCACTTGCTTTTTTCACTCAGCAGTACAACGTTGAGGGCATTCCATATCAGACCAAAAAGAGTGCCTCCCTTTTTATGGCCAGGCATGCGGTACTCTGGTATGTAGCTTGACAGCGGTTTGTTTAACCAACCCCTTGTTGATGGACATGCAATTTAGCTGGGTTAGCAGTACTGCATTATCCCACATGAGTGCCAGCTCTGCGCTCCTTACCAGGGAGTGAACTTGCCCCCCAGGGGCCCAGGAATGCCCCCCTAGGGTACCTGCAGCCTCAACTGGCCCTGCCTGGCTGGGTGCAGGAGGTGAGGTTTAGACCTCAGGGTTGGAGGGCAGGGGTACAGTACAGTGCAGAAGAGTCCTGCAGGTCCATGGCCTGAGGAGCGTCCCTGTATGAGTTGGGGCAGGTGGCAGCTCACCCTAAGCACCTCAGTTTGCCTGTTTGCCAGGATGGTGACTACCCCTCTGGTTTGGGAGAGGGACCCGTCCTGCAGCCTGGAGTTACCACCCCACCCCACCCAGCTCTGCCCCACCAGCTTCTCTGAGGACTGCCTGCCTGCTTCCCTCTCAGGGTCCTGTGCAGGGGTCGGGCCTGGAGACCCCTGGCCAGGACCTGGGAGCCTGTGGCAGGGCAGGAAGGCTGCGAGGCAGGGGTCCCGAGTCATGGCTTTTCATGGCCTGGCCCAGGCCCCTAATATGGGCAGTGGGTAGGTCGGCCCCAGGCCCAGCTCCCTCTCCTGGTCCTGCAGGAGGAGGACATCTTGGTCCGCTGTGTGTCTGTCCTGGGCAACCTGGCCGACCAGCTGTACTACCCCTGCGAGCACATCGCCTGGGCTGCTGATGCCAAGATCCTCCACGTGGACTCCGCCCGGTGGTGGGTGCTGAGCACGGCCTTCTGGGGGCTCTCGCTGCTCCTGGGGATTGTCAGGTAGGCGTTGCCGCTGCTCCCGCGGGCTGGAGGGAGGGAGCGCTCATCGCTGGTGCGGTTGGCAGACAGGCCGGAGCTGTGTGGTCTTGGCCGCCCTGCTATTCCTGTTGTTGCCACCTCACTGTGTGCACCCGACCACAGCACACAGACGTGGCTTTGAACAACACGCGCTGATTGTCTTAGAGTTCCGGAGGTCAGAAGCCCAACATGGTCTCACTGGGCTAACCTCAGGCTGTGGGCAGGGCTGTGGCCCTCTGGAGGCTCCAGGGAGAATGTTCCCCGCCTTCTCCAGTTTCTACAATTCCTTCCTGCATGCCTTAGCTCCGGGCCCTTCTTCCGTCTTTGAAGCACATCCCTCCAGCCTCTGCTTCTGTGGTTGCGTCTCCTCCTCTGACTCCGACCCTCCCGCCTCCCTCTTCTGAGGTCCCTGGTGTTGGCATTGGGCCACCTGGATAGTCTCCCAGCTCAAGACCCTTCACTCAGTCCCATCTGCAAAGTTCTTTTTGCCACATAAGGGGACACACTCATGGATCCTGGGGATTAGGACGTGGGCTTCCTTGGGGGCCATGACTGTGCCACTGGGCTCAGGAAGAGAACGTGTGGCCTGGAGAGGAGTGGCCGGCGTGGCTGCCTTCACCGGCCCGAGTCCTGCTCGCATCGCATCGCCATCAGCAAACAGCCCCAGGTGACATAGCCAGGAGTTTCCTGCTGGCTCTGTGCTTCCAAAAGCCGTCAGGTTCCTAGAACTTTAAAATAATGGTTTCCTCCCAAACATTTTCTTCTCTACACATTGCTGAGCGGGTTTGTTCAGTCCCTTGCCCCAGAAAACACAGGGCATGAAGGGCCTCCGTGGCAGAATTTCATGCAGCAACAGTCTCTTGGATCCCCGAAGGGAGGCCGCCGACCCCTGACCACCTCGAGGGCTTGGGGGAGGTGGGCGTGTCACTCGCCCTGGGCTAGGCCCTGCCATCCAATAGCCCTTGTTCTCCCCTTACAGATGCTCTAGTTGCACGTTCATCTCAGTCTGGAAAACGAACGAACCCAAAGTGGAAGATTCCAATCACCCACAGGCCAGAGGGGACCCAGAGATCCCGCTGTTTAGACTCTGATGACTCTTCTATCCTTTGACCTCACACTCTGTGGACACATTTTCCTTGCTCTGATCTCCTCGTTACACGGATGGGGCTGTCTTGATAATGAGCTCTCCTCACGTTCATGGTCACTGTGTCTGTGACCTTCCCGTGGGCTTGGGGGCCCCGATAGGGGCCTGGGCTCTGGATACTCCCGAGGCTGCAGCTCCCAGGGGCCTGGTGACCTCTGCGCTGAGATCCACCATTCCTGTATTAGGGGCAGCCTCGATTCCATTCATTTTAAAAAATAGACTATATTTTAGAGCTGTTTTAGGTTCACTGCAAAATTGAGCTGAACGTAGAGTTCCCATTTCCCACCTGCCCCACACAGCCTCCCAGCCAACGTGACGTGAGAGAGGGACATTCGTTGCAGTCGATGACCCTGCACCGACATGTCATCCTCACCCGGCCATGGTCTACACTAGGGTCACCCCGCTGCACAGTCCCTGGGTCTGGTGAGATGTAACCTGACATCCACCATCACAGCATCACACAGAGCGGTTTCCCAGTCCTGACAATCCCGTGCTCTGCCTGGTGCCACTCGTGTTTGGAGCATGTTGTTTTCCCATGATTGTCCGTATTTGGTGTTAGCAAGGGTGTGGAGTCGGGGAGCGTGTGTGCTCGTCATGACCGGTGTCCTTAAGACCCCAGGATGCTGCAGAGTCACCTGGAAGGTTGGAATGAGATGCCTGGGGCCAGGTGCCCAGAGGTTCTGATTCCACTGGTCTAGGGACCCAGCACCAAGGACTTGGTTTTGCCTCAGTTCCCCACTTACCTCACTGCAGGGGTGGCCCTGCGTCCCATCCTCTCTGGATGGGCACACAGGGGCTGGGAGATGTGACCAGGACCCGGACCTCCCAATCGTGAAGTCTGGCTGGGTCAGCCCTCCCACGGGCAGGACTCAGCCACCTGCACTTACCCGGCCGCCCCCAGCCCAGGGTGCAGGGCCAGGTGGGCAGTCGGGGCGGGCGCTCTGCAGGCCTGAGAGCCCTGGGGGAGCACGGGCTGCCTGCGCTGGCTGCTTCCTCAGCCTGAGGTGCCGGCCCTCAGAGCCCGGAAAGTTGTCAGGACCACCTCCCACCGGCTGGTCGGAGCCACTTGCAGAGCTCGGCACCATTAGGGTGACCTGTGGCCGAGCGGCGGGTGGCAGAGCCTCCCCAGGGCCCGCTTTTGGGGATTGAACCCCTGCACCCATCCTGCTTCTCTTGCCCTCTGGCTGGGCCCCTCATCCTCTCTGGTGTTGCAGGTCCCTGTGGGTGGTCCTGAAGCTGAGACAGCAGCTGAGGAGCCCTGCAGCGGCCGTCACCAGGTATTTCCTGGGGAGAAAGGCCACCTTCCCTCTCACAGGTCCCAGGAGTTTCCCCAGCCCCGGGGGGTGCTCTAAGTTGCCAGTATTATCAGCCCTGTCCCTGCACAAGGCCCGGCGGTGCCTGGGTCACTGGGCTCACCACAGCCTCCAGGTGACGGTAGCATCTCACTTGTGGGGACAGTGAGGCTTGCTCGAGGCCCCACAGGCAGGACACAGCAGCCAGGACTTGGGCTGAGTCCTCACGCTGCACCCGCAGAGCAGGACTGGGGGACCAGGGCACTGTCCCTTTCTCCTGGGAAGCGCTGTGCCTGGCGCAGGCCTGGGACCTGCCCCGGGGCCACTCCTGCCCCATCCCTGACTGGTTCCCGGGGTCAGGATTGAGATGTGGATTTGAGACTTTCCACACAGGTCTGTGCCCTGGTCACGTGGGTCCCTCTGGGGGTGACAGGACTCCTCCTTGCTCACAAACAGGGTCTGTGGTCACTCCCCTCCCTGCCCGTCCGGGCCAGCGTGGGCACCCCTGGGCCTGCCCTGAACGACTCCTCTTTGACCCCACAGCCAGCGGTCCCGGAGCGCGCGGGGGGCCGTGGAGGCCCGGATCCAGTCGGAGCTCATGACTCTCCTGAGCAACCTGGCCGACCTGGCCAACGCCGTGCACTGGCTGCCCCCAGGTTTCCTGTGGGCAGGCCGCTTCCCTCCGTGGCTGGTGGGCCTCCTGGGCACCATCTCCTCCCTCCTCAGCGTGTTCCAGGCAGCCCGGGCCAGCGGCTGGGCTGACAAGGCCGCCTCCTGACCGGCCGGAAGTGCATGGACACCGCCGGAACCTGCTGAAGGGCCTTCCACAGACAGAAATCACCGGGCAGGCAGCTGGGTCTCTGAGCAAACCAAGGCCAGATGCGGGGAGCTGCAACCCAGAGGACACAGGGCGTGACCTGGGGCACAAGCTCAGTGAGGCAGGATGTGGGTGGGCTGAGGTCCCCGGGTGCTGGGGGTCTGGGCCCTTCCCCCCAGGGCCCTTCCCCCCCGCCCCCCACTTGGAGGAGGTGTCTCTCAGGGCCAGAGCAGAGGACCCGGGACTCCCATGTAGACGAAAAGGCCACAGCGGCCTAAGCAGAGCCTCACTCCCGTCCCTGGCATCCTGTATCCAGATAGGCAGGCCAGGATGGTACGCGCCAAACGGGCCTTAGGAAAGCTGACATGAGAATCAATTAAAACTGTGGTGCTGGTGCGAGGCCCAGGGTGAGTCCTTTTTCCTAAACTCACCAGCTCCTTGCCCCTCCCGCCCGCTGGCCCGCTCACTGCACGCCCTCTCCCTGCACCTTAGTTCAGGGAGGGCAGGCGGTGCCACCTCTGGACGTGACGGCCATGTGCCTGGGTGGCTTCTCAGGGGACAGAGCTGCAGTGGAGGCCACACCTCCCATGACCCTTTCTGGAACCTCTTTGGCTGGTGGTCCTATCCGGTGAAGGCTGCTGGGGCCGTGCCCACATCACATCCTTCCCTCCTGATCATTGTGAGGTGCTTGTGGTCGAAGCAGCTGACACTCAGCCACAGCTCGGACCAGGGCCATCATCCCTTCAGGCCCGTCTGCACATCTCCTAGGTTCCTCGCGGGGCCGGCCGGCGTCTAAAGATGCTGTGGCTCTGTCTCCCACCTCATGGAGACGTGGCAGGACCGGTGCGTTTGTTTTCAGTCTGACACCTGAGGCCAGAAGTGTATGCGTGCGTGTGCGTGTGCGTGTGGCATTGGTAGATGATGCCCAGCCTGCGCCTGCGCCTGCTGGGCGATCTCCATGTGTCCCTGGACCCTCCACCTTAGTCCCAGCGGGAAGAAGGGAATCAGGCTCTGCCTTACGTCCCCGAAGTGCCTGGAAGACTCAACAAGACCTGTGCTTGCAGTCTGAAGCCTCATGATTTCAGCCAGATTGCTCTTTTCAGGGAAGATAAGAGGCTGGGAACAGCTGGGATGGAGGGCTGCTCGGGGTAACATGGGTGCAGAAGAAACCCCGCCCTACACTGGCTCAGTCTCCCCCTCCCTATTGCAAAGCCGAGCGCTGGCATGTTCCAGCGCCCGAGGAACCAGAGAGACTGGGTGGGGTCAGAGCAGCACCACCTGCCCGTCTGGAGACTCAGGGCATAGATGTCAGTGCTGCACGAGTGGGCGAGCCACGTGGACACCTGGCTGCCACATCAGGCCCCAGGGCTCTGGCTGCTGGTCAGCCTGGGGCCACCGCCGGCCACAGCCTGGGCAGCTGAGGTGACCCTGCCTGCAGAGTGGCCGCACCCCTGCCCACTGCTAGGTCCTTGGTGGGGGGTAAGGCGTCACTGGTCCTGGGAGCATGTCTGTGGCAAACGGCTCAGGGAGCAGGGGGCCGTCACCCCAGGGCCACAGGGCCAGGCTAGCCAGGGTGGGAGGGCGTGGTGGCATTCCCCAAACGCTGACCTGGATTGGGGGGTTCACTCTGGGCCTTCTGTCTCTATCTCTGACTGTCCAAACAGGATCGTGCGGGGACTTCTCAGAGGAACAGAGCAGGCTCCGCTCCCCACAGGCGTGGGGTACAGGCAGCTGGTCAGGCTGGTCCTGAGGCTGCCTCCCTGCCCCAGCTACAGGGCAGGAGTGGGGACAGCAGCCGAGGGGGCTACTAGGGTGTCGTGGGCCCACTGGGAGGTGGGACATCATACTCTGGTTCTCAGGCTCCTCCAAGGCCCTGGGTCTGGTCAGGCCTCCCTCAAGTCCTCCTGCAGCACCTGGCGTGCGGCCCCGCTGGCGAGGTGAGCCTGGGGGAGCCCCACCAAGAGACGACCCTGCCGCACAGTGAAGGACAGCCGCGCCGCCAGCTCGTCTTCAGACACCTTTATTGCTAGAATCAGGCTTGAGCTCTAAGGCAGTTCTGAAACATCCCGCATGAGGACATGCTGCGATCATAGCATCACTGGGTGGACCAAGATCATGTCAAAGTTACCAAAGATGTACCCAGATCCCACAGGAGTAACACTGCTCAGCCGCCAACTTTACAAATAAAACTGGGCCCTACCCAGGAGTCACCGCAGGCTACTGGCCAGAGAACGTGCCGAAGACCTGCCCGCTGCACGGCCTGAGTGGAGACGCCACCACATGCCGAGGAGGCGCTTGGACGTCTCTTTCGAGGACCTGTGTGCCTGAGGCCCAGGAATGTACTCGTCACAAAAGGACAGGAAGTAAAGGAGAATTCTCTAAAGTGCTCTGATTCGTCTCAGTACAAAAACACAAAACACTGACTACAGATCCAGCACAGACGGGCTCTCGTGTCCGGGGGACGGAGGACACGTCTCTTTGGTCCTTGCTGATGCTGCTGGTCCCGTAGGCAGAGTTGAGGGTCAGGGCCAGCGGGGGCCGGGGCGGAGTGGTTCTGAACGGCTGCTGTCAGCTCGTCACTCACTGGCTGTGTCACCTTGACCCTGTGGTGCCCCAACTCCTGGGCAGCCCAGGACCCATCCTGCCAACGCTTCGGGAGGTGCTGGGCTCTGGGCCGGTGGAGGGAGCCTGGGATGCAGAAAAGTGAGTCATGTCCCCTTCCTGCACCAGCACCCGAGCTTGTGTTTGGCCAGAGGTGGGACGTGGCTCTGGCTCAGTCACCACCCTGATGTGACACCACCCAACACCCACAGCCTTGCGAGTGGACTGGTGGCCCTTGCCCACTTCCAGGGATAAGGGGACAGCCCGCGACAGCAGCTCACTGGATGTGTGGGCCTGTGAGGTGGCCACCTGCCCACTGGAGGTCTCCAGGCCACATGTGCTCCCAGCGTGTCACCTTCACTGGCAGCGCCACCGCTCTGCTCTGTGCTGTATCTGCATCAGCCCATCAGCACCGGAGACCAGCCCTGGGACTTCCTCTTGGAGGCCCTGGGAAAACCAGCTCATCTCCTGGGGACTGAGGGCCCCCTGCTGGGGGCCGGGACTTTGGGGCGTGCTGGCCTGGCCAAACCTCTTGATTTGGCTTCCCCAGGCCGAGCACCTGGAGAGCCACGTGGACTCGGTGAGGTGCCTGGGGAAGCACGGAGATCGACTACAGCAGGTTTTAAAAAACCCACTAAATTAACACGGGTTCCAGTCAGACCCCTTCGAGATGAGTTCTGCCCTAAAGAACTCACTTGAGTACAACTGGCCATCCTTTCCAGCCACTCTGCCCTGGGGGCCCTCTGTCCCTGGGGCTGTGTACGCCCTCGTCTTGCCTGTACCCTCGCCTTGAGGCTCACCATGAACCCATGTACATCTCGGCTTTGATTCTGCCAAGGGAGACAGCTGACACTACCCTGGCCCTTCTGCTGCCCTAATGACCAGTCCAGCTCCAGTGTCTCCTAACGGCTGTGGGGGGGCCCCTCCTCCTCAGACCGAGGTCTGGCCCGTCGTCAGGCTCCGTGTGGGACCCCCAGTCTGTCACTACCTTGGAAAAACTGCTTGGAGTGGGTCTCCCTACCCAAGCGGGGGCTGCCATTAAAACAGCTGCTCAGTTAGCTTAGGTTCAGCCTCCGATTAAAAATGTCCCTTTTTGTATAAAAAAAGGCACCACTGATGATCAATCCCACAGCAAGAGCCTGGAGACGACAGGCGGGCCCGACCCCGACCCCAAGCCTGGCCAGGGGGTCATCCATGGTGGTGTGCTGGGCAGGGGGAGGGCAGCCGGCGAGTCCCAGAGAGCACAGCACCTCAAGCCGCTGGCCCTAGAAGAAGATGACGTCTTCTTTGCTCGCTTCTTCCTTGTCGAGTGGGGTAAGGGGCCCCGGCACGGGCAGGAAGGGGGGACACTCGGGGGACGTGTCCTCCACAGCTGGGCTGGGCGCCTGGCAGGAGAGGTCTGGAAGACAGAGGATGGCGGTGTGGGCAGCCACCAGGCACTGCGGAGGCCCTGTGCCTGGGTGGCTGGGCTCACCTTGGGGGGATGCGGAGCGGTGGCTGCTGCGCCGGACGGGACTCAGTGAGCTGTGGCTCCGAGAGACATACTCCTCCTTGCCCGTGAGTTTGCTGAAAAGCTGCTGCTGCTGCTGCTTCAGGTCGAACGAAGCTGACAGAGGGAAGAGGGTGCAGCCTGGGTGCTCAGCCCGGCTCCCGCTCATGGCAGCCCCCACCCCTGCTCCTGAGCACTTCCCAGGACACTGTTCCAGGGGGACCCCGCTCAGACAGTAAGCCCCAAATGCAGTGACACAAAACGGGGAGAACAGCCCCCAGCCGACCCCAGGAAGCCCTTAGAATAAGCCAATCTCTGGACCCAGTCCTGGGACACAGGCCCTGCTCTGTAGGTCCCAGGAGGGCTCCCTGACCGCACCTGTACACTCACAGCACCCGAGGGAGCCCCGAAGCTGTGTCAGAGACCGCTGGCATCGTCACCAGTGTCCCTGAGTGACTAGGGTGCTCTGACTGCTGGCCTCTGGCGCCACCCCACAAGGCCCCCCAGGCCCTTCTTTCTGAATTGCCAAGACACGCCCTTCCTGGTCCAGTTTGAGGACTGAGGTGAACGGACCTGGGGTCTGCCAGGCCCATGTTGCTTCCAGAGGATAAACCTCCCCACAGGCGGGGGAGGGGCCTCAGCACATGGCCAGCTGCATCTCCACCGGAGGACAAGGAGGGGCTTTGGTGTCACTAATTGCTCCTGACTGGATCTCCTAGTCCAGGAGGGGCTGGGCCGGCACTGGAGGCCACGTCTCCCAGAGATCACCTATTCCGTCCAGAAGACTGAGCTGGGCCCCACCCGCCACACCCTGCCTCAGGCACAGAACTCACCTGAGCTCTCACTGCGCTGGGAGCCCCTGCTCTTGCCGCCCTTGTCCTTGCCGCCCTTGGTGAAGGCAGCCAGCTTGGTGGGGATCTGCTGCTGCACGGCCGCCTGCCTCTGGATCTGGTTGGTGGTGCTGAGCAGCTGGATAGGCACGTCGCTCCTGGCCGGCCGGCTCTCGGCTGGGGTGCTGTCCCGGCGAGCCACCTCGGGGCGCTCAGGGCCTTCCAGCCCCTCCCCGTTGAAGCTGGGGGCGTGGCTTGGGGGCTGGGCCTGAAAGAGGGACAGAAGACACAACCCAGAGATCCTCCTCAGGGAAGCCCTTCCTGGGACGGAAGGGGAGGTGCTCTCCTCAGCACCGCCCACTCCCAGGGCTTTGGGGAGAACCTTGTCCACCCACCCGGAACCTGGGCCCGCAGCTTGCAGCCTCTTAGCTGGGCCCGATGGAGCTGCCATTCACTGCCTGTCCCCTAAACACACACACACACACACACACACACACACACACACACACGGAGCTCGCAGCCCCAACACGGGCACTTGCATGGTGACACACATGCCCTTGTCCCCTGGCGTGCTCACGCATGCGCTGCTGCAATGCACCCACACCGGCGGCTGCACGCTCCCTCGCTCACCTCTGTGGGCAGCTCAGGTGGCAGCGCCCTGGGCGCTGTGTTCTGCTTCTTGAGCCTCTGCAGCAGCTCTAGCTGCTCGCGCTCGCGCTGCACGAGGCGCTGGGCCTCCCGAAGCCGTTCCAGGTCGTGCTGGTAGGCCTGGCGCTGCTGCTCCAGCTCGGCGCGCTCCTGGGCCTGCTGCTCCTGCAGCCGCGCTGCCTCGCTCTGGCGCTGCTGTAGGTGGGCCACGGCCAGGTCCAGCTCCTGCTGCTGCTGCTCCCGTTGGCGCTCCCAGCGCTGCTGCTCCAGCCGCAGCTGGCTCTGCAGCTTCTGCACGCCCGCCAGCTCCTCTCGCTGCTTCTCGAAGTTGCGCTGCCGCTCCTGCTCCAGCAGCAGGTTCCCGCGTGTCGACTGCAGCCGGAACTGCTTCTCGCGCTCCTGGATGGAGGCCCTCTGCATCTCCACGTAGCTGTCCTGCTGGGTGATGACCGCCTGGGGGAAGTGGACTCATGAGGTGCTGGCCCTGCCCTCTCCCAGATCCCCGCCGCAAGCAGGAAAAGGGCAGTGCAGCCTGTCCCTGCCCACCACGCCCTGTACCTGGAGGCTCAGGAGCAGCTGGGACAGTGTCTGGATTCGCTGGACAAGCTGTGGAGAGAATGAGTGCTGGCTTTCTGCCCGAAGCCCTCCTGGTGTGCATGCCAGTCCCCGGGAGATGGACAAGCCTGAGCCTACCTCCAACTCCAGGACAGTGGGCAGACGGGGGCCAGACTCGGTGCCTGGTGCCTCCACCTGTGGAAACACAATGTCAGAGCACACAGCTGCTGAGGAAGCAAGCCAGACTCAGTGCTGACGAGGCTGCCTTAGCACGGGTAGGCCTTGCCTCACTGCCTGGACAGTGAAGGCGCAGGGTGGCTCCAGGAGGTGGGAGGCAGCTGGCCTGGGCCTGGCCATGGCACTGGCCTCGGACTCAGCACACCGCCCGGCCCTGCTCTCACCCCGACGCTTGGCAAGGGTGGGTGTTCTGAGTTGAAAGGGAGGGAGCAGCCAGCATGACTGGCATCCGTGGCTGTGAGGACATGGAAAGCTCATGGCCCCGCACGGTGTTCCTCACCTGTGGGGAGGCCCTGGCTGCCGCCCTGAGCCTGCCCCTCCCGGCCGCCCACATGCGGGCCGGCAGGAAGAGACAGGCTCACTCGCTGGCTCGCTGACCTGAGCTGAGACAGGCTACTCACCATGAAGCGAACAGCACATGCCACTGGCTGTGAGATGGAGGCTGAGCAGTCTGCTCACACTTGCTGGCAGTTACAAGAACTGAGCTCAGGCCTGGCCCGAGGAAGCAACGTACCGCCCATGGTGCTTCCTCAGAGGCGCCTGGGGTGTCGCCGAGCTTCGCATCTGGACTGCTCACAGGGTCTTGCCAGTCTCCTGGGCTGAGGTCACTGCCGCATACCTTCTTCCTACAACTGTCACCTAAAAGCCCAGGCCAGGCCCGTGAGGATGCTTGGGGTTCCGCAGGGTCTAGACCCCCCTCTCCCCCAGCCCGAGCCCAGGCAGGAAATGGTGGCTGGGCTGCTGCCTTAGGCCTGTGCCGAAACGCGGCGTCTGTGGCGCAGAGATCGGCAGGAGCAGGCCCGGCTGCTGTCAGACATGACCAACAACACTCAGACGGTCCCTGACCATAGAGGGTTTACGGACGCTGACAGGAAGTAGCAGCAGAGACGCCAAACAGCAGATGCCGGCTTTGCCAAGGACGTGAGCAAAGGGAACATCTGAGGAGCCTGAACCTGCTGCCGCTACTGGCCTTCCTTCCCAAGGGTCCCGGGGCCCAGCCCTTGGGGGAGGAGGCACCACTCACTCTTGCCAGGGTCGCTGGTGCTGTCGGAGCCTCCAAAGGCCTCTGCCCTCTGGTGCAGGCCCGCAGAGGCACCCCTATCTGCCTGGCCACTGGTGCCGCCCAGCCGCCTGCAGATGAGGCTCTGGATGTCCGCAACTGTGGAGGAGACAGGCGGGATGCAGTCACCCTGTGCAGTCACACTGTGCGCGTCAGGTGTGGTGCAGGGCCAGGGCAGAGGACGGTGGGGACCAGCCCCACTGACCCTGTGCACTCCCTGCACAGGCGCTCTGCCCAGGTCAGTCCTCTCCCCGTGGGGCAGCATGTGGACGGGTCACCCTGGACCCTGGGCCTGAGGGTATGCTGGGTCCAGTAAGGAACTGTGTGGCCACTGCTTGTGTGGTGACAGTCATCCAGAATGTTAGGAGGCATGGAGGGAGGACTTGGGGACAGTGCTGGTCACACAAAGTGCTCTAGGACAAACAGGTTTTGGCCAGGTGAGGCGGTTGGCCGAAGCCAGGACATAAGAGGCCTCAGGGGGCCAAGAACAACAGCCATGGAGAAACGGGAGGAACACTGCTACGGCCGCGGAAGCCAGACTGAATGGGGGCAGAGTCCACGTGGGAGCGCTCTGCTCTGTTACCTTCACTGTGAAGGGGAGGGGATGTGTCTGCCTTGTTTGCTGCTGAAAGAGGGTGAAGGAGCACCGGCTGCCTGGCCTGACGTCCTGCATGGAAGCTGCCTGGGCTCTGGCATGGACCCTGACTGCTCCGTGAAGCAGGCCTGGCAGGACGCGCACGGGGCAGGCCACCTACCGGCCAGCGCCCCCCCATGGCTGCTGGTGATCTCCCCACCAGACCCTGGGCCAGCTCCCAGGAGGGCTGCTGGGTCCAGGAGCCCTCGGAAAGGACCATCAGTGTGTACGTGTGCATGTTTCCGGACATATCACCGTGACCCACTACTCAGAAAGGAGAGTCACCTCTTGAATGTGGGGACTCGTCTCGGTCGGCTTCCGATCCCTGGGGCCCAGAACAGTGCCTGGCAGGCGGCAGGCCCCGGGAGCGTCAAATGTGCGAGAAAGTGCTCTAAGTCCGCGGCCAGGGCTTGCACTGGGTCTCGTCTAACGACCCTCTGGCTCCACAGGTGCTGGGGGGGTGCCCAGCTGCCCAGCCAGACAGAGTGTGCCCCGGAGAGGGTGGCGAGTTGGCCACACTGGGCCGAGGAACTACCGGGAAGAAGGGTGCTGGAGAGGGAGGCGCTGTCCCGTGAGGACCTTGGGGCCAGGCTACTTACTCTCGGTCATGGCTGACTTGAGGATCCACTCGCCCTGCAGGTTCTCGGAGAGGTCCCCTCCTCGGAAGAGGAGGCGCGGCTGAGCCGAGTCGTCCAGGCCACTCATCTCGGCCATCTCCAGGAAGATCTGCTGCTTCTCTCGCAGGCTCTGTGCAATCTGCTGGTCTTTCAGGCTCAGTCGTTCTGCGAAGCCACGGAGGTGGCGGTCAGCCTCTCTAGGATCGTTCCCCAGGAGTCGGCACAGAGTGGGGCTGCCTCCGGGGACCCCTGCTGACCCACCTCACCCCAAGGTCCACTGCTCCCTCCATCCAACCTTTGTGAGGCTGTGAGGGACTGGCCCTGCCTCTGATCGCTTCCCACAACCATAAATAGCAAACAGTGGGGTATGGTGAGACCATTAACAGGCCAGTTTTGGGACAAACTGAGGGCCTTGTAAGATTTAGTTTTCTAATCTTGGACGTCCTCCTTCAGGCATTTAGGTCAAACTCCTTCCTACAAGTCTTCCTGTTTTATGCTTGTACGGCGGCCATCTCGGCGACTTACTGGATCAGACTTCCTCACTGGTGATTGTTAGTACATCTACATCACGTTCAGACTTATAAATCCCTCACTCTCTCATCAGTTCCAATCATTTTCCAGTTGATTCTATTGTATTTTGTAGGCAAATAATCATGTCACATGCAAAAACATCATTCTGCATATTTTAATACCATTTTTACACATGCTTTGATGAATCACTTCCTTCTGATTCTGGGTTTTTTGTCATTCATACAAGGAATTCACAACTCACTTCTATAAATTAAATACATTCACCCGTTTTCTTAAAAAACAAATAAACAAAAACACACACACACACACACAAAAACATAATTCTGTTGCCACCCTTCCAATCATACCTTACTTCTGTCTCTCCCAACAGTCCCTGGCTGGGACTGCCAAGGTGAAGATGATAATGGAGAGTGGATGGCTCTAGTTTTTTAAATCCTCACCGGGAGGATATGTTTTTAATTGATTTTAGAGAGAGCACAAGGGAGAGAGAGAAATATTAATCGGCCTTACATACGCGCCCTGACCAAAGATCAAACCCACAACCTAAGTGTGTGCCCTAACTGGGAATCGAACCTGCAACCTTTTGGTGTAGGGGACAATGCTCTAATCAACTGAGCCACCCAGCCAGGGCTGGCTTCTGGTTTTGATGGGAGTGTCTCAAAGTTAAGGGTGAGTTCAGCTTTTGATCCAAAATGGGAAAGAATATCTTGATAAAAAAATATAGTCCTAATTCACTAAGAATCCTGGGAATGAGTGATGAAGAGACATCACCGTGTGACTCTACAGTGTCCATGCAGGACATGTATCATCGCTATCAGAGAAAATTGTGAGTTAGAATGAGATGAAATGAATACTTTGCTAGGATTACACCTCCAGGGTCCAATGGGATTTCCTCCCCTTTCTTTTGGACATTTTAATTAATTAATATATTTAGATGTGCACCTCCTCACAAAGAGAAATAAAATATATACTACCCAATTTTATGTACCTATTGCATAAATGTTACTTTATTTAAAATAATGCCCTTAGTGAGCGGGAAGAGGGAAGAGGGAAGTTGATTGAGACCAGAGTACTAGGCACTGCTCTTGGCAATGACCTTGCTGAAATCTCACAAGAATCTGTTGAAACTGGGAGGAGAGTAAACAAGCACAAGGCGTTACACTCACACAATGGAATATTCCTCAGTCACAACAAGGAAGGAAATTCTGACACCTGCTGCAAAGTGATGGACCCTGAAAATATGCTAAGTGAAATAAGCAAGATGCAAAAGGAGAAATGCTTATAACTCCATTTATACAAGGTCCCTGGAATAGCCACATTCATAGAGATAATCGACTAGAACAGTGGTTCTCAACCTTCCTAATGCCGCGACCCTTTAATACAGTTCCTCATGTTGTGGTGACCCCCAACCATAAAATTATTTTTGTTGCTACTTCATAACGATAATTTTGCTACTGTTATGAATCGTCATGTAAATATCTGATATGCAGGATGTATTTTCATTGCTACAAATTGAACATAATTAAAGCATAGTGATTAATCACAAAAACAATATGTAATTATATATGTGTTTTCTGATGGTCTTAGGCAACCCCTGTGAAAGGGTCGTTCGACCCCAAAGGGGTCGCAACCCACAAGTTGAGAACCACTGGACTAGAAGTTATCGAGCTGGGGGAGGAAGAGCAGAGAGTGACTGCTACCAGGGACAGGGTTTCTTTTGGGGTGATAAAAATGGTCTAAAATTAATTGTGGTGCCCTGGCTGGTTTGGCTCAGTGGATAGAACGTCGGCCTGCAGACTGCAGGGTCCCAGGTTCGATTCCGCTGAAGGGCACATGCCTAGGTTGCGGGCTTGATCCCCTGAGGGGGATGTGCAGGAGGCAGCCAATTAATGATTCTCTCTCATCATTGATGTTTCTCTTTCCCTTTCCCTTCCTCTCTGAAATCAATAAAGATATATTTAAAAAAAATAATAAAATAAAATAAATTGTGGTGATGGTTGTGATATTGTACTAAAAGCCATTGCATGGAACATTTTAAATGGGCGAATTATATGGTGTGAGAATTATATCTCAATAAAGTAGTTTAAAAAATTAAAATAGGGAGGAGAAAGCCAAGGTCCCCGGGCCAGGCTGGTCTGGGCCTGCCTGGCTGTGGAGGGAGGCTGTGGGGTCCTGCGCTAGTACAGGCCGTGTGCTTCTTGGTACGTGACTTGGGACACTCACCGTGAACTCCCCTGAATGAGGACGGTGGGAGGGGGCACTGTGTGGCAAAGCAATCGTGTCTGGAAGGGGCTCAGGGACGCTGTGCCCCTTCTCCCTTCCCCACACCCCCCGGAAGACCACTCTGCACCTCCTGACAAAGCTGCTGCAACACCCCACAGAGCTGGACCCCGAGGCGGCCACAGCAGATCCCCAGTCACTTGCGCAGTGATTCTCGCCACGGCCAATCCCAATGGGACAGAACAGAAATGCCACTGGTGGGCCCAGGCCTGCTGCCTAAGGAGTGCTCTGCGGGCCATGTCACCACCATGTAGGGGGCACATCTGTGGGCATGGGCGCCCAGACTCCCTCCCTCTTACCTTGGAAGTCCCTCAGCCTCAGGGCGCGGGCCTCCACCACCTTCCTCTCCTCTTCGGCCTCGCTGAAGGGCCCTTCCTCCTCGTCCGGACAGCTGCGGGGAGGGGGACAGACGGCTGAGAATGCTCACGAGCTGACTGGCCTCGGAAACGGCCCGAGAAGTTTATCTCAGAACCAGCTGCTAAAGAGGATCTCATTTTGTGGTAGGGTTAGCTCGTCAACGTTGCAGGAGAACAAGGACAGGGAAGAGCAAGACCGCCATTAGCATGAACCTAATCTCAGTGCTGGGATACAACCAGCCACAGGTTTTATTATTTATTTGTGTATTTAAAATGCCTTGAAAGCCATGTCACCGCTTTTTAAATTTTTAAAATTTGATTTTGAGAGAGAAAGACACACATCAATTTGTTGTCCCACTTACTTATGCATTCATTGGTTAATTTTTGTATGTGTCTTGGCCGGGGTTCAAACCTGAAACCTTAGTGGATCAGGACGATGCTCTAACCAACTGAACTACTGGGCCAGGACCAGCCACGTTTTAAATGCTGGCCACAGCGGGAGGAAGAGACTGGGGACAGCTCTTCCCAGGGCCCTGCCCCGCACGGAGGCTGCAAGGCTAGCAGGGCTGAGGCGAGGACGGAGGGAGCTCCAAACAGGCTAAGGCTTTGGGAGGTTTCCAGGCACCGAGAGAGGAAGCGGCAGGCTGCCTAGGTGTGGGGGCTGGGCCACCTTTTCCCATCTGTTGGGTGGACCAGGAGCCAGGCATCACACAGAACCACAGGGCTGGGGTCCGAGGTTCCCTGGCCCGGGGAGGAAGGACAGAATGCCATGATCTGCTCCAACAGGTCTGGCCCCAGACGGGGGTGGGGGCGGGGAGGTGGGTGGTGGTAGGATGGGGACACCTGTGTGTCAGGCGAGTGTCCCACCAGAACGGAAGTCAGAGCTGCCTGGCTCCACGTCCCCTGGCGAGACACGCTGGGGCCTCTTTAGAGGAGTCGGGATGGTGGCATCTTTGAATAAAGGGGAGGAAAAAGCACAAGGTGGAGAGTGGAGAGGGGAAGCAAAGGTCTCTGTCCGCCTGTGGTTTCTGGTGCTCTCTTGGGCAGGTCAAGGTCACAGCCAAGGGCAAAATGGCCAGCGTGGAACACACAGGCCCTGCTCACCTCTCAACGGCCCTTCGGATGTGGGCCATCCAGGCGTTTCTCTCCTCTTTGGAACTGGTGTAAATCTCGTACATCTCAGGCCCTTGCAGGGAGGCGCTGATCAGAAACATGGCTTTTTCCTCGTTGGCTACTTCCCTCACAATGAGCTTTTGTAATGAGATGACGGGGCGCTTCGAGTCCTACGTGGGTGGAACAAGGTGGGAGGGTCACCTTTTACCTACCGCAGGACGCCCCACTTATTTCCAAACAATCCAAAGTAGAAATATTTTACCATCTGGGGGGAAAAGACACTATTGCTATGAGATCCTTGTATCCTTTAACGCATCTGTTTAATGTGCTTAAACAAATGTGTTTTATAATCAGCTAGAGGCCCGGTACATGAATTTGTGCACGGGTGGGGTCCGGCGGGGCTGTGGGTGGTTGGTCGGCTGGCCCCACCCCCTGGTTGAACTCCCAGTTGAGGGGACAATTTGCATATTAGCCTTTTATTATGTAGGATAACACATGCACACAGTACAAAACTAAAAAAAACAACAAAAAAGAAACAAAAAAACCAAAACAAAAAAACAAGAGCAGACAGTAACTACAACAACAAATAAATCTTCCTCCTGACCCTGGTCCCAAACACCCAGCACTCCCAGCGAGCAGGTCCCGTAAGAAGATAGTAAAATACACATTTTCAGTTGGTTGTTTGGGCTGAATGGTGTTCCCTCAAATTCATACATTGAAGCCATCACCCCCTGCACTCAGAACGTGACTGCATTTGGAGACGGGCCTTCGCATGGGTGATTAAGTTAAAATGAGGTCATTAAGGTGGGCCTGATCCAATCTGACTGGTGTCCCTATAAGAAGAGACAGACGCACACAGAGGGACAACCATGCGGGGACACAGGGAGCAGACACCAAGCAGACTGCGGCATCGCATCACCCTCAAGCAAGGGCACCGACAGCACACACAGGGGTGCTGGAGTCAAGGCCAGATGACGGTTCCACAGAGCAGCCTGACCCCGTCTGCGTGCTGGGAAACCTGGGAGGCTTTCAAATCTGGGAAAGGTACATGGCTGTGAGGACATGCGTCACTGCGCCGGGGTGCCCTCTGCATCTCCATGTAGCTGTCCTGCTGGGTGAGCCTGGAGGCCTGGCGGGGATCACGCCTCCCCTGCAGGGAGGTCTGTGCTGTTAGACCCTGAGGACGCGGGCCCTCCAGGTGAGCAGAGGAGGAACCAAGTCCCGGGGGCTGTGGGCCGGGAGGGTGACTGGCATACCAGCCCGACCCCCAGCCCACCGGCTGTGCAGAGCCCACGGGAGGCGTGGCTCCCACAACAAGGGCCTCCTGGGGCCAGCCTGCTGTGGGATCAACATGGTCACAACACAGGGCGTTGGCTGCCTGAGCGTGTTCTCAGCGACGAGCCGGAAAGTCCCTGGGAAGGGCAGAGGGGCTTTCCTGGCAAGGATGTGAGGATCTGAGCGCTTTGACAGAAAGACACAGAAATGCAGACAGAGGATGTCTGCACGAGCCCTTGCAGCCTCATCAGACCAACTAGACAGGACCCCTGTTCTGGGGAACTTCTACTCCTGCCTTCTGGAACCTTCTGGTCCTGGGAGGACGGGGGACAACACGTGACTTTTAGATGGGCTTGTCTAGCCACCTCGCTCTGTGCTGTTCTCGTCTAGTTGTGGATGCAGCCCGGCCACCCCTCCACCCAGCGCCTTCTGCGCAGTCAGCAGCCCTTCGTGTGAAGAGAGGGACACATACCACAGAAGCAAAGACGTACTTCTGATCCTTTTCTTGTAGCAGCAACAGCACATCGGTCAACAGGACGACAAGGACATCTAAGGGAGAGGACAGAAGCAATGCACGGGGTGGCATGGCCATGTGCGTCCTGCAGGGCAGCCAGGAGACAATGACCCTGAGGCGGCCTTGGGCACCCTGGGCGGAGCCCGGGCCACTCTCAGCCTAGAGCCAGGATGCTTCTGCAGGAGCCTGAGGGTTCCTTTCGACCTCACGCACCCCCCACCTGCTTGGGTTCCCATGTTTCTGCCGCTGCACTGGCGGGCCCTGTGCCCTGATGCCCCCTGTTGTAACGGTGCCTGCTGGGTCTGGTCTTCGAGGTTCTCTCACTATGATTTCTCAAATGTGAACTCTGCCCCCTCCCTCCTTCTACCTGCCCCAGGCTACCTGGGACCTGGCTTCCTGCCTTCTCCTGCAGCAATGCACTCCCGTGGCCCGAGCCTCCTTCCCGGGGGCAGCAGGTGGGTGTCTTGTCTCTGTGGGTACCTCTCACAGCACCCGAGCACGTGGTACGATCCTGAGTGCAGTTCCGACACGAGCACTCATGCCCAGGAACACGGCTTTCTCAGGGAGAATCAGACACCCTCTCAACCCAGCCTCTGGCTTCCCCCAAAGCACTTACTACACTTTGCACTATGTTTCTGTTGACTGGTTTCTCTCTCTGCCCGCTGATGGGAGCCCCATAGGGCAGGGGGCCTTCTACCACCCACCTCAGGGCCTGGCACACGGGAGGCACTAAACCAGTGGTTCTCAACCTTCCTAATGCCGCGACCCTTTAATATAGTTCCTCACGTTGTGGTGACCCCCAACCATAAAATTATTTTCGTTGCTACTTCATAACTGTAATTTTGCTACTGTTATGAATCGTAATATAAATATCTGATATGCAGGATGTATTTTCATTGTTCGTGACCCACAGGTTGAGAACCGCTGCAACTGTATCTACTGGACGCATGTCATGCAAAATACGAACAAACACATTCCATCGTTTGACCACCTGAAGATTTTGCCACTCCCTTTAGGATCTTTACAGATGCTGATGCCAGTGGACAGGCCAGGATGCTTCTAGAGGCTCATGAACCTTGAGCGTGAGATCACGCCATGAATTTTGAAAGCTGGGCTCAGAGCACACCCTTAGCGGTGACTGGGGTGCCTGGGGACACTGAGGTCTGTGTGGTGTTTTCTACCCAAACCAGGCTCTTTGGTGGTTGGGCCCACTGCAGGCGCACCCACGGCTTGTTTGGAAGTAACCTGGGCCTCACGAAGCTTTGGATTTCTGTTCAAACGTCTGTGAGTCCCATGCCCTCCTGGTGTGCATCCCACCATCTCAAACGTGGAGGGAGAGGGTGCTGGTGTGAGCATCTCATTCTCACTACACTCCTGGCTGCCTGTGCTCATCCCGACTCTGCACACAATCTCCCTTCAGCCACAAAGCAGCCAGACTGCAGTGGCTCTGGCCAGCGGCACCCACCAACCCCAAATGGTGCTCACTGACCCAGAGGGCACCCCCTACTCCAAGGTCGTGGCACCTCTCCAAGATGGCAGCACCAATTCAAGAAGGTGGTACCAAACCAAGAAGGTGCCACCGGTCGAAGACAGGAGCCACTACTCCTCGATGGCACCACCAATGCAGAGGGTGCCCACCCCCTAGGACGGTGCTCCCGACTCCAAAGCAGTGCCCGGCCCTCCCAGAGCTGCTGCCACGCGCACGCGCCAGGCAGGGCTTCACCTTTCAGGCGCCCCGCCGTGGTCTTCCAGGCCAGCGTGCCTTCCAGGTGCAGCTGCCGCTGCAGCATGTCCTCCTTGCGGAAGGGCAGCCCGTTCTTGAGCTTGCTGGAGGACTTCAGGTCCATCCTCCCTGCGATCTCTCTGAGGCGCTGGCCTTTCTCGCACTCGCTGACCTGGGTGTCCACTTGTGAGATAACGTCTTTGATGAGGTTCAGGGCCTGGGTCAGGTCTTCGTAGTCCTTGGAGCCAGCTGCCACACACAGCAGAGTTAGTGCTTTCCTTCGTCTGCGTTCATGAACATGACAGAGGTGGACACACTACGGGGTCTGTGAGCTGCATTCCCTGAGGCCACTGCTTGGAGGACCCTCGAGAATCACCTCCCAACTTGAATTTCCCAAGACATCAATGCTTCTCCAAAAGGAATGCAATAGCCCAGCGCTGGGTTTTTGCCCAGACAGATTGTCTGTTGAAGTCAGGTGCACCGCCCTGGTAAGAGCCGCCCTGCACATCTCGGCGGGCACTGCCTGGTCAACAGCCTCCCTGCACCCGCCATTGCCATGAGCTAGGGATACGGCTTTCATGGTGGGGAAACGTGCTCATTTTCCCACGCTCAAACCCCCTGGAGCTGAGGGAGCATGGCCAGCACTGCCCTGGCCTTCTCCTCTGCCCTCCATGTTGTAGGCAAGTCCCTCTCATGGCCCTGGCCCTGGACTCTGTACCCGTCTGGATCACTCAGGAGTGACCTTAACAAGGGCACTTTCTCCATCATTCATCCACTCCCCAGATGCCTGTGCCAGGGGCAGGGGCAAAGCAGGCAAATGAGACTCAGTGCCCATCTTTCTTTGTTGGAAACCCCCGCACCCAACACAGTGGATTCGCATGGTGGCACTCGGCTCATGATCGCCACACTCAGCTGAATCCAGAGAACCAGGGACAAATCCGAGGGGCACTTATCCAATCCGCTGCCAAGAGGGGGCAGGCAGACAGACCCCCAGCACCATGGGCAGGGTGGAGGCGGCTGCGCGCGCACCTTCCGTGTTCTGAATGATGCGCTCCACCAGCACGGGGTACTTGGTTATGCGCTGAGTGACCAGAAGAATGCACTCCTGCACGCCAAGGCGTCTCACGATGGAAGAGCTGCCGATTTTCTATGAAATGGAAAGAAACCATGACACACTGACGTTTTATTCCTGCCAAATCAGTGAGTTTAACTGGATCGGATCCTGAGGCTGGGCGCTCCTTCCCCTTCTGGCTGGTGGGGACCTTTTCTCTGCACTTCACCAGATATTTAAAAGCAGGGAGCCCCTGCCGTTTGCGTAAAGGCAACAAAGGCCAAGACAGCCATGCCTGTTGTAAGAGGGCCCCCGAGAGACCAGCTGAGAAGAAACCAGACCCAGCCAAGGGCGGTTATGGGAACCACCTGGAGAGCTGCATGATGCACACACGCACCCTGCGTGGGATCCCAACCCTGACTGACGGCTGTTGGAACCTTCCAGAATGACTGGGCTGGGGCCTCCTGAACCGCTCCCTGCTGGCGTCTGATGCACACCTCTGGTAAGAGCCCAAGAAGTGGCCTTCAGAAGCCGTTCCCTGATGGGGACTGAGCAGCTCTCCAGAGTGTACCAGCCCACCGTCCGCCTGCTTCAGAAATGCCAGCATTCCAGAGAGGACCGGGAGTCCCAGTGGGATGTGTGAGACTCATCAGAACCTGCCCACTTTCCAGGTGTTTCTAGGCATGACGTCGGGTGGCCTGTCCCACTGCTCAGCACAGATGAATTCAGGCCCTGAAGTGCCCTCTCCCTTTCATGTCTATCCACTAGTCCACTAGGATGGTAATGGAGTGAAGTGACCATTCGTTAGAGAATGTCACCTCAGGGTACAGGTGGCAGGTGGCAGAACCCTTCTGGATCAGGTGGCAGGGGCTGCTGCAGAGCCACGCTGTACTTTCTAGAACATGGGAGGTGGGCCTTGCCCGACCCGGCTGACCTAGGCTGGGGACGTATTTTTAGTTCTGAGCTTGGGCGTCCACACACTGATAGGCAAAGATGGGCGTGGGCCATTCCACAGGCTACCAGGGAACAGACGGGGACCAGAGGGGGGAGGAGGCAAAGGTTTAGAGGAAGGCACACCTTGCATCAGTCGGAGTGTTTGAAGCCACAACAGGTGACTCTGGAGGGGGTGGATCCCAGGGAAGGGTGCCCCTTGAAACCACACTTGTGTCACCTCAACATTTGGAGAAGGACGGTCAGCGGGCTCTACGCTGGGGCATCTCAGGGGCCACCCTGGTGTGTCGAGGAACAGAGCTCTAACTCTACTGTGCACCTGGGGATTCTCCAGAAGATTCCACTGACTTGTTCTGAATGTGTCATTAAGAATGAAATAACAACTTGAAAATCATTGATTTATAACAGGCACCTTAATCAAAGGATCTCCAAACAGCTCTGTAGGGAAAAACCTACAGCAAAGAGGATATGTTTTTAATTAAAATAATAGTTTTTTTACCTTGATCAAGTTTTGAAATTTCTTATTTTGCTGCAGCAACAATTTGTAATGACTGACTGCTTCGTTGTGTCCACTACAAAAGACACCATATTTCTTTTTCATGCTCTCTCCATTTTCACCTGAAAACTGAAGAAAGACAGTGGAGATGTTAACCACCAGGGAAAGTTTTCTTCCAGCTCATCTGTTTTCTCCTAAAACAAATACTAAGTTCACTTGCAATTTAACTTTCTTCTCTAACACACCCTCAGACACAGCAATGCTTCATTACAGGTGTCTCACAGCAAGGCACAGAAAGGTAAAGTGCTCATGGGCTTTATGCCGTTATAGGTGCTGTAACAACTTCCTGAAATCTGAGGAGAAGAAATACATTTAAGCCAAAGAATGTTAGAAAAATTTAAAAGCAAAGGGGGTATCTTCTAATTAATTCTCATGAGCTGACTCGGATCCTGGAGCACTCTGAGGTCAGATGAGCGGTAACGAGATCCTCTGTCAATCTTGGCCAAGACTCAGAGGTTGACTCTGAAGTCAATTCAGGGTCAACACCCCCCTCCCCCATGAATGGCTTTGGGTAATCGATATGCTTCTAACAAAGAAACACAGCCACCAAGACCAAAAATAAATAAATAAATAAATAAAGACCAGCCAATCAACCAAAGAAAAGCCCAGAATGCATTGCTGGACAGTGATTGCACAAGTGTGTTGCTATTTAGGCGTCTGTGGTATTAGACCATTAGCTGCACACACAGCAGGAAGGACCCTGGATCACTGTCTTCTAGAGCGGCAGGCTCTCAACCAATCGGGGGAAAGGGTTCCTGGGCCCAATTCCAATGTGGGGGTGGTCCCCTCCATAGTAATGATTCTCAGACAATAGCAGGGTCTGACACTGTCTACCTGGAGACAGCGTGAGATTCCACAGTTAAGGGTACAGTCCCTCAAAAGTATCCCTCCCCAGGACACCAGGTGTCACCCAAGCCCCTGAGCGACTGGCTATAAACCAGAGGTTCCCACCATCCCCTTCTTGGGTTAGATGAATTTGCTAGAGTGGCTCACAGAACGGAGAGAGACATGGTACTTGCTAGATCACTGGTTTGTTATGAAGGATGTAACTCAGGAACAGCCAGATGGAAGAGATGCATGGGGCCAGGATGGGGAAAGGCACAGAGCTTCCGTGACCTGCCCAGGCACCACTCCCCAAATCTCCATGTGTTCACAGCCTGCAAGCTCTCCAAACCATACTGGGTTTTTATGGAGGCTTCACTACACAGTTACTATTGATTAACTCAATGACCACTATCAACTGATTCAACCTCTACCCCCTCTTCCCACCCAATGTTGGGGGTGGGACGAAATTCCAACCCTCTCATCAATGGTCGGGTCCCCTGGCAATCAGCTCCCGTCCTTACGCTCTTCCTAACAGTTACCTCATTCACAGACCAGACACTTTATGCTCTCAGCACTCAGGAAACCCCAGGGTTGGGGAGCTGTGAGCCAGGAAGCTGGATGAAGACCAGGCGTATTTCTTATGAATTACAATACTGCAGGGAGCCATGTTTTTGTGATTAGGAGGAACAGAGGGGGTGGGGCTTGTTCTGGCCTTGCCCACCTGCTGTACCAGGAGGTCCCCGATTTTCTGGATGATGTAATTCCGGTCGCTGCCTTCTTCCAGGGACTCCCGGCGGCGTTCCTTTAGCCGAGAGAGAAAGTGGCCATGCACCTGGAGCAGGTCGTCTGCACACGGGAAGAGGCGGCTGATGGCCTTGCTGCTGAACTGCAGCTCCTCCTGCAGGGCCCTGGAGTAGACCTTCAGCATGATCTTGAGCGTCCGCACGTGGTGCACCTCCGTCTGTATCAGCTCTGCGGAGACATGGACGACAGAACTTACCCAGAGTGGAGAGCACACCCTGGCTTGGCTCCTCTTGTGTCCCACGGGGGCACTGTGTGTACTGCCTGCCCACCATGCACCAGGCTGAGTTCTCAGTTCTCCACCCAAATCCTTGTCCTCATGGCCTTACTGCCCAGGGGCCAGGCCTTCCCGCCCGAGTCCTGCAGGGGTCCCAGCTTAAGGGAGCAGCGAGGGATGGAGTGACATCAGGACAGAGAGGACCCAAGATGTGTAATGGTCCTCAAATTCACAGGAGGGTGTTTTTGCTGTTGTTAATCCTACCCTGAGGATTTTTCGATTGATTCTTAGGGAGAGTAGAAGGGAGGGAGAGAGACAGAGAAAGAGAAATATTGATGTATGAGACACACATCTACTGGCTGCTTCCCGACCGGGGCTGGGGATTGAGCCTGCAACCGAGATAGTGCTCTTGACAGGAATCGAACCCAGGACCCTTTGGTCCTTGGGCTAATGCTCTCTAACCACTGAGCCAAATCAGCTGGGGCCATAGGAGGGTTTTGTGCCTAGAGCCGAACAAAGACATTTCAAGGCTGTTTAAGCCAGAAGATTGTTTGGATAAACACCACTCCTTGGGTGTGAAACTCACACATTTGTGCATGTCAATGGCCAGACAGACTAAGCCACCTGGCCAGGGCAAGTGAGACTTGAATTCATTGTAAAAGGCAAAGAACGATCAGGTTTTGTGTTAGAGTTTTTCTGATATTCAAGACAAGGCCTTAAAGCTGTTCGAGACAAAACCAAGGTCAACAGGGCTGGGCCCCAGGTGTCCAGAGGGGGCCGGAGGAGGGCTGGAAGCAGTCTGTGTTCGCCCAGCAGTATAGATCAGGTGGCAACTGGCTGCCCAGATGGAAGGGGGGATCTAGGCTGGTCCCCTGTCCCTGTCCCTCTCTGCAGGATCTGTGGCCTGGCTCTGGAAGCATCCAGCAAGGTTTTCCTCCACAGCCACACGCCTCCTTACTCTGGGCCAGGCAGGGAGCTCAGCGTGTAAAGGACGTGAGTGCCAGTGGACATTTCCAAGTGGCACACGGCGGTCTCGGAGCTAGACCTGCCGTGTGGGATACAAAGGGAGAACGCTTCTGGAAATGCCAGCATTTCCTCCCAGAATGCCATCGAGGAACAGCAAAGTGCCTCCTCAGGTGACACAACACTCATTCTTGGGGGCTGGCTCCCATGAAGAAGGACCATGAGAAGAACCAGTAACAGCCCTGGCTGGGCTGGCTCAGTTGGCTGGAGCATCATCCTGTACACCTAAAGGTCGTGGGTTCGATTCCTGTCAGGACACATCCCTAGGTGTGGGTTCAGTCCTCGGTTGGGGTGCGTACGAGAGGCAACCGATCGATGCTTCTCTCTCCCACTGCTGTTTCTCTCCCTTTGGGCCTTTGTCACTCTGTTGAGAGGGGCTTGGAGGGCTGGGGCCCCCAGCACAGCTCCTGGCCTGGGAATGGCTCTGTGCCTTAGGAGCTGGGATTTTCATTGCAACCTACAACATCCCGTCTCAGGACAGTGGCTGCCCATGGCCCGGTTCTCTGACAGCCAGTGGGAAGGAGCGCCTACAGGAAGCTGGTGCTACAGTCACATGGGGAGGAAGGGACATGCTTCCCAAACACCCCAATCACAGCCACGCTCAGGCCTTTCTTCTCTCTCAGGGTCACCAACAAGGTAAGATGAGTCAGGCCAGGGCATCGGCCACCCTGACTCTTGGGGATGTTCCTGGCCACCTCTTCCCTGTCCTGGGGAGAGCAATGAGCGGGTGAGTCTCAGGGGGCGTCAGCAGTGGAGCCCAGATTCCAGGTGGGAAAATTTGAAAAAAAGAAAAAAGAAAGAAAAGAAGGAAATGCCAGTGTGGGGGCGTAGGATTTCTTACCATAAATCACATCCTGTCTCTTCGCCACCTCCTTCTTTTGTTCCTTTGCGTACGCCGGGTCCACAGACAGGCTCCAGGACTCGGCCTCGAACTCGTGGGCGTCCGATTCGATCTCACTCCTCAGTGAGGCAGTGTAGGGGTCTGGGGGAAGGGCGGGAGGCCACTGCTCAGCGCCTCAGCCTGACTGGCCTTCATCCCATGAACAAACTGACATGGGTCCCAGCATCCCCAGGGTGAGTGGGGACCACATGTCACCAGTGAAGGAATTGGGAAGACTGTACCTTCTACAAAAATGGACTCGGCATTCGAGGATGTAAGTGAAAGGGAGTCATCAGCTGCTTGCTTAAATTTCAAAAATACAGAATCGGCTTCATCCATCTCTCCTATGACTGGTCTAAAAAAAAATCATAAAAACAATTATTTCAAAATATTGAATTAAATATGCATACCCCGTCCTATGAAGGCAAATTAGACTGTTAATCAATCTGCTTAAATACAAGTGGAGAACTTTGTGGATTTTAATATGAGCCTTAACTTTGTCACAAGTCACTTTTGAAAATCAGAAGACTGTCAACACAACATCAGGACTTCTTGCAGCATCACGACCTTAACTGTTCAGACACAGTCAGAGTGCGGGTAAGTGTAAGCTTCCTTTACTGGCCAGTGGCGCCCTCGCCCCCAAATTCCTTCAAGCGAGAGCTCAGAGTTCGTGGACAAAGCCTCACTCCGCGGGCGTGGAGGGAGACCCCTTCAGAGAAAGACCACGGGCTCCTTTCCCCACCATCCAACAAGGACCACACGAGACACCTTTCAGCAGGAGGCCTCTCCCCCAACACTGCTGAGAGCAGCATCAGAGCCACCGAGGAGTCCTGCAAACACTGCGGTGGGGCATCAATAACAGGACCAACCTCCACGGCGACCTCAGTGGGACTTTAGCCTCGTCTTGAGTGAAGAAAGGGACCCGGACGAGGGACTTCGCGAGCACGAAGCAAAACCAGTTTTTAAAAAGGGAAAGCAGTGGCTCTGAAGCCAGCGTTCAGGGAACCTCACCTCCCGGCTGGGTCACCCTCCAGAGAGGCCGCTGGAGGGTCCCCTGGGACTGCCACCCCCGAGCTCCCTCCCCCCTCCGCACCCACAGCAGAGAGGACCGCTTACCCGAGTCTGGCCCCTGTTCCCGCTTGGCTGGGTGCTGGCTGTGGACTCCCCTTCTGCGCGACGGTCATGCCGGCATTCCTGGAGAGGGCCAGGCTGCCGTCAGACAAGAGGGTGGGCCTCGGGGGCTCCTTCACGGACGCTGTGACGGAGGCAAAGACAGAGTTGGTGCTGAGGAAGTGGGCAGGGTAGTGGAGGCGGCCCGCCTGGAAGCCCTGCTCTGACTGTGGCCGCAGCATGGACAGGATCTTGGAGGTTAGCAGCTCGTTATTTAGAAAGACATTCTCGCCCCATCTCCTAGGAAAGGAGCCATAGAAGGACAGCTCGGGGCGGTGGGGCGCACTGTCCCTGACGCTGCCTTTGGAATGCGTGTTCCCCATGCTCGCGGTTGGGGCTCCCGGACTCTAGCAGTTTTATGCCTCCGTGAGATCCTTCTAGAAATGTGAAGTGGCGCCTGCTCTTACTGTATTGGCCGCCGCCGCAGCAGCTCTGGAAGCAGGAAATTGGTCCCTACTGTGACCGTTTAGGGTGCAAATCGCGCCGCATTTTTCCTTTGGCAGAATAACAGCAACAAAACATCTTCCCTCTCAGCGGGGAGTCAAGAGCAGAGAGCAGGTCTGTTCACTGTAGAGAAGCTCAGATCATGAAAAGGGAGCTCCGTGCTCGTGTGGCTGTGCTGACATCACACACACACACACACACACACTGAGGCTCAGAGACCACCACGGTTAGTGGCATGCACCGCAGTTCGTAAGAATTCTAGCAGAATCTAACCACCAAAGTAGACAGCAGGCTCTGATCCTATTCATAGGGTGACTGTAAACCAACCTAACATGCAACAGGGGACCAGAGGGCTGTCCACTCTCATCTGCTCATTAAGTAAGAGCTGAGCTATTAGGAAGCACCTACCCTGGTGATTACCTTCCCACTGATGGAAGCAACTCTTTGAGAACCAAACTATCATTAACTAGGCTGGTTTCCCTTCCTATTTAACAGGTGAACCATTTAACTCAAGTAGGCTGCCTGGTTCATTTATTCTCAGGTGAAAGCCACATTTGAAAGCTTTGCTCCAAGACCAACAGCAGCATAAGAAGAAATCTGCCCGGTGGCCCTCCCGACCTGGCTCTGGGTCCCCCACACTCCCACCCATCAAGGTTTCTGGAAGAAAGTGGCTGGAGCTCTGGTCTCAGAAGCAGGGAGACTGTCACCTGGGGGTGGGCACAGGGCTGGCCCTAGAGGAAACTACTTCTTTCAGGAGCTTTAGGGGGGGGGTGGGGGGGGCCTCGGCATGCTGGGTGAGTTTTAATTTTGGTGGAAATTTAGGGAGCTTGCAAGTGTGCAGGTGGGCATGTGTCCAGGGGAAATTTCTGGTAGAGGAGTAATGGGAAAGCTCGCAAACTGAAAGTTCACATGCACAGAAAGCGTACTGTCCCACTACTCATTCTTTAACGAGCGCAGCATGGAGAGGATGCCACCTGGGCAGTGAGCCCCAAACACAGTGACATCACCATCATCAGCGGCTAGCAATCGCCATGAAATCGAGGCCTTCGGGGTCCAGGGCAGGCATTGCCCGCCATTTCTGCACCACATTAAACTCCACCCCGGCGATCAGGACCGTCTCGTACAAATATGAGACAGGTCCCGAAATGCATCCTTTGCCTGGCATCCTGGGAGGACTGACACATTGCTCCTGTGACCCCCAGTGTTGCCTGAAGTGGGATGGATTCTACCTTAATCAAATAGTCCACAGAAGAAAAACACTCTCTAAGAAGCACTGGCTCCAGAGGTTGTTCAAGGGTCAACTGTACTTATTTATTCTGATCAGAGTCGGCTTCCCCAACTGAATGGAGGACAGTGCCTCCTACGAAACAGGTCAAGGAATCACTTTTTTTAAAAAAATATATTTTATTGATTTTTTACAGAGAGGAAGGGAGAGAGATAGAGAGTTAGAAACATCGATGAGAGAGAAACATCGACCAGCTGCCTCCTGCACACCCCCTACTGGGGATGTGCCCGCAACCCAGGTACATGCCCTTGACCAGAATCGAACCTGGGACCCTTCAGTCCGCAGGCTGACGCTCTATCCACCGAGCCAAACCAGCTAGGGCAAGGAATCACTTTTTCATGAAATGTTATTCAGTCATAAAAAGGAAGGACAGGAAAACCAAGATGGCGGCATAGGTAAACACCGGAGACTGCTGCCTCGAACAACCACTTCAAAAATACAACTAAAAGACGGAACGGACATCATCCAGAACCACAGGAAGGCTGGCTGAGTGGAAATTCCACAACTAGAAGGAAAGAGAAAAGCATACCGAGACTCAGAGGAGGTGCGGTTCGGAAGGAAAGCAGAGGTATGGAGGCGCATGCGGAGAGGGCTGGCGGCTGAGGACACGGTTGTCTTTTTCAATCGGAAGGGAGTCTCAGGCTCCCGACTGCTCTGAACTCCAGTTCTGGGCGAGTCTCTGGGGACCCAGACTCATAAGGGAGAAACTGGACTGTCTGGCATCGTTCGGAACTCGAAGGCGGCTTTCTCTCAGAGGTACTTGCAGCGATTGCTGGGACACTGAGAAGCCTGGCCTCTGAGGGCAGCCATAACTGCTCGCTCCGCCCTGTTGATCCCCTGGGACCCCACCCTGCCCAAGCCGTGCACGGAGGCTTTTGCATATGAAAGGCCTGGCCCTTTGCAATCTGAAAATTACCTAACAAACTGCAGCTGGCCCAAGGCCCCATGGCAACTTGCATTGCTTCACAGCTGGCTCCTGCTGCGTAGCCTCAGGCAGAGGCTAGATTAGCACCTCCTTAGAGATCCAGGAGCCAATGTGCCTGGTGGTCAGAGTGGGACCATCCAGATTGCAGCTCCTCGGATCCATAAAGGACACACTCAGGGGGCAGACTCAGTGAGCACCAAAGCCCCACTGAAGCAAGTTTTGCCCCGGAAGGGTGTCTCCAGCACAAAAATTCTCCCACTGCAGACACAGCTGATTTTCACAGCCAATTGGCCTGGAGGTCAATCCCTCCCAATGTTACCTACAACAATCAAGGCTTAACTACAACAAGACTGTGCACAAAGCCCACAAGGGGGTGCACCAAGAGTGTCTACCTCAGGTAAATGGGGAGGCTGAGCCACTGGGCCCTATAGGACACCTAGCACAGAAAGCCACTCTATCGACACAGCGAAGCATAAAAAATGCCGAGACAAAGAAACAGGACACAAATGACAGAAATGGAGGAAAGCAAACTACTGGATATAGAGTTCAAAACCACACTTTTAAGGTTTTTCAAGAATTTTCTAGAAACTGCCGATAAACTTAATGAGACCCTCAAGAAATCTAGTGAGACTCTCGAGGATATGAAAAAGGACCAACTAGAAATTAAGCATACACTGACTGAAATAAAGGATATTATGCAGAGTTCCAACAGCAGACCAGAGGATCGCAAGAATCAAATCAAAGATCTGAAATACGAAGAAGCAAAAAACACCCAACTGGAAAAGCAAAATGAAAAAAGAATCCAAAAATACGAAAATAGTGTAAGGAGCCTCTGGGACAGCTTCAAGCGTACCAACATCCGAATTATAGGGGTGCCAGAAGAAGAGAGAGAGAGCAAGATATTGAAAACCTATTTGAAGAAATAGTGACAGAAAACTTCCCCTACCTGGTGAAAGAAATAGACTTCCAAGTCCAGGAAGCGCAGAGAACTCCAAACAAAAGGAATCCAAAGAGGACCACACCAAGACACATCATAATTAAAATGCCAAGAGCAAAAGACAAAGAGAGAATCTTAAAAGCAGCAAGAGAAAGACAGTTAATTACCTACAAGGGAGTACCCATACGACTGTCAGCTAATTTCTCAACAGAAACTTTGCAGGCCAGAAGGGAGTGGCAAGAAATATTCAAAGTGATGAATAGCAAGAACCTACAACCAAGATTACTTTATCCAGCAAAGCTAACATTCAGAATTGAAGGTCAGATAAAGAGCTTCACAGATAAGGAAAAGCTAAAGGAGTTCATCACCACCAAACCAGTATTATATGAAATGCTGAAAGGTATTCTTTATGAAGAGGAAGAAGAAGAAAAAGGTAAAGATACAAATTATGAACAACAAATACACATCTATCAACAAGTGAATCTAAAAATCAAGTTAATAAATAATCTGATGAACAGAAAAAAAATTAAAAATAAAAAAATAAAAAGGAAGGATATTCTAACACACCCTCCATCGACAAGCCTTGAGGCCTTTACGCTCAGTGAAATGAGCCAGCCACAAAAGGACAGTATTGCAGGATTCTACTCATCCGAGGTTCCTAGAGCAACAATTTTCCACCGGTGTGACCCAAGAATTTTTAAAACATGCAATACCTGACTATTTACTCAGGAACACTGACTAAATAAAAAAGTGACAATAGCCAATACAACAGTTCCTATCTGGTGTGAACGAATCAAAACTAGATCTATTTTTTGGTCAGACTGGCAAAATGTATGTTTTTTTTGGTGTGCCATAGGATTACAGTAATTAGTTTATAACTACTAGGTATCAATTTGGGGGTTACAAATACATTTTAGCAAATAAGTGAATTCATAAATACAGAATCTGCTAATAATAAGGATTGAGTATATTAAGTGTTAAATGAGAAGTTATTATATTTTAGAACACCTGTATTTGCTCAAACACACACACAGAACACTGGTTTCTTCCAAAAGTATATGAGATGGCCTTTTATTTTGGGGAACTTCTTACAGAAAACTTTAACGATGCCCATTTGGTGGCAATGTGACTTTACCAAAATAAATTCTTCTTCTTCTTCTGCAGCAGTAACCATCACACCACTCAAGCTACATAAGACTTTTAAAATAAGATACACAGCCACCAATTGAGTCTTTCTGTAACATATGCAGCCTTGGAAATAATGGCTTGATCAAGACATGAATCAGCACCTATGCCAAAGATCAGCTGTATGAATCATGTCTTTTTGTTCTGTATTTTTGATGGTCTGACATCTGGGGCCCAGCTCACCTGGAAGGACTGCCCCCACTCCAGGGGCAGCCGGTTCCTGGAGATGGTAAGGACTCACCTACAGGAGTTAAATTCATGAATAAGCAAAGCAACCACCCAGAGTCCACCTCCCAACCACCTCCTTGA